TACTACTACATACTACTACTTACTACTCCTTTACTTTACTACTCTACGACTACCACGGCGACGCCGAACGACAGACGAGGACTATACTACTTCTCCCTCCCCCACCCTCCTCCTCCTCCTCCCTCTCCCTCCTCCTCCTCCTCCTCCTTCTCATCCTCCTTCTCCTCCTCCTCCTCCCCCGCACTGTCCATGCGTATGCCTCCTAGCTCCCCCCGTCCTGCTACCAGCTCGCTCTCCAGCGCCACCCCTGCCCCGCTCCGTCGCCTCCCCGCCTCGCGGGGAGCGAAGGGCGAGCGCGGGTCGGCAGACCCAGTCGCGACATAGAGCATCCCGTTACAGCCCTCGTGTCACCGGGAGGGGCTCTTCTGGCCACGGCGAGCCTGGGCCAGCCACGAAGAGGCTCCCCGACTTCAGATCTTGGGAGCATCCCGGAAGCCAGAACTCGCCCTGGGCCAAAAGCGGCCCTTGCTCCAGCGCCTTGGCTGTGACTGCCCAGTCCTCCGGCATGGCTAGTCGGGTGGCCGCTCTCTGCGACGAGCCCAGCCCGCCCAGAGGTGGGGCCCCCTGCTGGCGCGGACGAGCAGCCCGCTGCAGCATCGCGAACTGGATGCGCATCCCAGGAGTAAGGACTCTCTCGCATCCCAGGAGTAAGGACTCTCCTTGTCCTCCTCCTCCACCTCCACCTCCACCTCCTCCTCTTCCTCCTCCTCCCCTCCTCCACCACCCTCTCACATTCCTCCTGCTGCTCCTCCTCCATAATTTCCTTCGTTCCTTCCGTCCTTACCCTCCCCAACCTTTCAGCCCACTCACCCCCCTTGCCTCCTCTGCCTCCTCCTCCTCCTCATCGTTCTCCCCCCCTTCCTCTTCCTCCTCTTCGTCCTCCTTCTCTTCCACCTCCACCTGTTCCTTCCCTTCCTCCTGCTCCTCCTTCCTTTCCCCCGCTGATTATTCTTCCTCCTCCGATATCGCTAAGTTTTACCAGACCACCATCGCGCACGAGCAGCTACGCGTTTCAGCTACACACTACTCGTTCGACATAGGCCTGCTTCGTGCGCTCTGTGTGTGTGTGCCCTACAGGTGTCCTGGGCACGCTCGTTGGGGGGCCTCCCTCAGTGGCCCCACGGAGGCCAATGATAACATCGTGGCAGGATGCAGCTATGCGACGGGTTCTGCCAAGTTGATAATGCTGGCGCTGCTCAGGGACATTGCCACCTCCATCCCCCCCTGCCGCAGCATCAACCTCATAGATGACCTCACCTCGCACGTCGCAGGCGGGCCTTCCACCCCTGTCAGGCACTCCATCCAGGCTCACAGGAAGGTCACTCAGTACATGGCCCAGGTCCACCTCCCCATCAACAGGAGCAAGACCAGGTTCATGACCTCCAGCCCTGAGGCCCTGCAGGCGCTCCTCGAGGACCCCAGCTGGGACCTGAGCTTGGACCTGAGCTTGGACCAGCATGTGGATGCTCATAGGGAGCTTGGAGGTGAATCAAGTCGTGGGAAACATCGAAGGCTCCCCACGATACTCCAGAGGACCTCGGAGGCCAAGAAGATGACCAGCAACTAGCACTTCTGGGCACGGGGCCGCGGTGTCAAGGGTATTCAGAACGGGGCCTCTGGCTAAGGCCATCTGGGGATCGTCGGTCAGCGGGCTCGCGGACACGGCCATCAGGAAGCTGAGGGTTCAAGCAGCCAAAGCAGCGGGGCCCCTACATCCAGGAAGTGCTCTAGGTTTCCGTTTCCTGTTCGACCCCTTCTTGGCCAGGAAGGGCCCACTCGAGGTAACCACAGTCCAAATGACCAAGGACTTCGTGAGTGCGATCTGGAATCATCCGATGTCTTGGGATGTGATCCAGGCAGGCTGCCAGGACGGCCTGGAGGTGCTCCGCTCTCGCAGTCGCTGGCTTGAGGTGAAGCGCCCCACATCAGCCTTGATGGCCAGCCTCGACAGGACAGGCTGGGGGCTTTGACTTCCACAGCAGGGCGTTGGCCGATGTCTTTTGGGTCGCCGTTGGTCGATCCCGAGATTCTCGCCACGGTGTGCTGCAGGGCAGGCCCGCGAAGGAGTCAGGAGCTGCACGGCCACGGCCGAGCAGAGCAGGCAGACTGACTCTCAAGCGTGGAGGGGAGACATGTCTTGGTGGCCGGTCGAGCAGCTGCGGGGCCAAACCTCCGCAGACACGTGGCATGGGCACCACTAGTAGACCTCGAAAGGGGTGCCTTCCAACATCTACTGGACACAGGCCAGAATGGCTCCAACATCTACTGGACACAGACCAGCATGGCCTTTTCCAGTGCAGGAGACATCGACACGACATGCAGATTATGCCAAGGAGCTCGAGGGACGTTACACCGCAGGAGATTAGGCTGCCCAGCGTGCGAAGCTTGGAGGCGCGATCATCTTGGACATAACCTTCGACAAGCTGCCAGGCACATGAGAGGGATGCCTGTGGAGGCTGGAGAGCTCTTCTCGCGCGGGATATTTCCTGATCCCAGTGCATGGTTCGGCCGACCCCACCGAGACCCCAAGGGGTCCTACATGCAGTCGATCAACTGGTCCAAGGACGGGATCATGATTGCGATTGTCAAGCGATGCTGGACGGTGTTCACGGGCGGGCCCTGCTACGAGATGAACCACCCAAGGCTGCGAGTGGCAGGCTGGTCGGCCAGCACCGTCAATGAGAATGGCGACCTGCTCTACGCCATATACGTGGTGGCCCCACTGGCGGAGGCCCCCGACCAGAGCTCCAGGGACGGCGAGGACTCCGCGGTCAGGCAGTTGGGGATCCATGCAGTGTTGGAGGCAGGGGTTGAAGCGCATGTGTGTTGCAAGGCTACTGTGACAGTGGCAAACAAGCCCCCCGTCTCAGCTAACGGGAACCTGATGAGGTGCCACTGGTGATCGGAGGTTTCGCAGGGGCTGGAAACTGTTCGGCTCGTCAAGGTCGACGCCCACCAGTCCCAGAAGGCGGTCCAGGAGGACCCCATCACCCACCAGCAAAGACAGGGACCTGCCCATGCTGACCGCCTAGCTAATTTAGGCGCTGAGCCCCTTAGAGCCTCGCAAGCCCACCTGTTGGTGGTCGAAGGATGTGCCTCTCTCGCTCGCGAGGTTGCTAGGTTCGCGTGCCCCCAGCAAGCGATGACCAGTGCGGGCCAAGTGGCCGATCATGACGGGCTAGAGTGGCTCACCACAGTTCCCCTCGAGGCCATCCCTGGGCTCCCCATCCCTGGTGCCAGCCAGCGTTCTGGAGGTGCCCATGGGCCCAGGTCTGGGGAAGGGGCGTCTGCGGAAGGTCCACCTCCCGCTCCTGGGGACACTGTGGGGGAGTCCTTGGAGGCTTGGGCTTTCAGGGGGCACAGGCTGTGGTGGGCTGAAATTCGCGACGGTCGGGAGCACACGCTCACCGCCACTCGTTTGATTTTGCTCGTCGTGCGGGGCCCATGCCAGGGGCTCGCACAAGAAGCCGCCCAGAGGGGGGGCATGCTCCTTGTGGCGGTAGGCCCAGCGTGGGCCACTGCAAACGTGTTGATATTTATTGTTGGCAGGGTAAGTTTCCGAGATGTGGGGGTCGCCGGGTCAGTCGTAACGCCCCTGCCCCTCGCTCAACGTCCGCCAGCAGCGGTCCAGGGCCCTGGCCTCCCCGTCGGACGTCCCTGCCCCGCCCTCGGTCCAGGCTCCTCGGGACGCCCAGGGCCTGGACGCGGAGCGAGGGCTAAGGTTGTTTCGGGCTCTCGCGGGGCGGGACGCGAATGCGGCAGCAGCGGTTGCCAAGGGCAGAAGTCTTCAGAACCCCTGCCCACGCCCCCCTCCTTGATTTCTGATGCCTGGTCTGACTTCATGGAGTTGGGGCCGCCCCCTTACCGTGTATGTAACGGGGTCGCCCCCCGTAACAACGTAAGTCTGGACCTCCACCTCCTCCTCCTCCTCCTCCTCCTCCTCCTCCTCCTCCTCCTCCTCCTCCTCCTATTCATCCTCCTCCTCCCCCTCATCCTGCTCCTGCTCCTCCTTCCTGTTTTCCTTCCTTACTCCCTTCCGTTCTTCCTTCCTTCCGTCCTTCTCCTCCCCCCCCCCCCCCCCCGAGAACCCCCCCCTTGCCCTCGCATGCTGTCCCTCCTGGCCCTGCCTCTGCTCACTCACCACTTCCCGCCCGCCCTCCCCCTCCCTTCTCCCAATTCTTCTCTCTCCATTTCTCCGTACGTGCTCTCCCTGTATCCTCCCCCGCTTCCACTTCCCCCTCCTCCACATCCTGTTCCTTCTCCTCCTCCTCCTCCTCCTCCTCCACATCCTCCTCCTCCTCCTATTCCTCCTCCTCCTCGGCAGTTCCAACTTATTATCCTCTTGTTCGCCTGTGTCCTCTATGTCCTCCTCTTCCTCCTCATCCTCCTCCTTCTCCTCCTCATCATCATTCGTCTCCGCCTCCTCCTCCCCCTCCCGCTCCTCCTCATCCTCCTCTTTCCCATCCTCCTCCTTCCTCCTCTCCTCCTTCTCTCCTCCTCCTCCTCCTCGTCCTCCTCCTCCTCCTCGTCCTCCTCCTCGTCCCTCCTTCCCCTGCCTCGTCCCTGGCCCCTCTTCCGTTGTGCCGCGTCCGTTCTGCTTATCCTACCTCCTCTTCCTCCGTTCCTCCTCCAACAGTCTCCACCTCCCCCTTCACCTGCCCCCCCCACTCCCTCAGCATGCGCCCCCGCGCGATCCCGCTCGCGCGCGGAACCACGCGAGGGGAAGAAAGAGGAGGGAGGCGGAGATGAAGGAGGAGAAAAGAAAGAGTAGGCGGCAAGAGGGAGTGGAGCGAGGAGGGCGGGAGGGAGGGGCACGATCAGATTCCTTCTGCCCTGTCTCTCCCTCCTCCTCCTACTCATCCTCCTACTCGCCACTCCTCCTCTTCATAATCATCAGCATCATCATCAGCAGCATCATCGTCATCACCAGCATCATCAGCATCTTCATCATCAGCATCACCATCATCATCCTCACTCCTCCTCCCCCCCCCGTCCAAGAC